ATGATTCATAATTAGTCCTCCAGAATCATGGCTGGTCATTACACTGGATCAAAGTTTCTTATTCTTTCAAAGTTTTTTTTAAAAACCATATTATTGCTATAGTTCTGTTCACTGTGCATCAATTTATACATGTCTTCCTAGGTTTCTCAGAAACCACCTGCTTTATTATTTCATGCGGCACAACAGTATTCTATCACATTCTATGATGTAACTTGTTCAGCAATCTCCCAATTTATGGGTAGCTCCTCAGATTCCTGTTCTTTGCCACCTCAAAAAGAGCTATAAATACTTTTGTACATCCTTAGAATTTGTTTTGCTAAGGTCTAATCCCTTCCTTAATCTGCTTTTTCTCTAATCCCTCCTTTCCTCCTATTTCCCGGATGAGTGAAATGTATTACTATAAGCAACTATGTGTGTGTATGTAGATAAGAGTGAGATGAGTGTCAGTTGTTCACTATATCTTGTCTATATAAATGTCTATTTGAGTACCTTGATTATGTGAGATAATTTTTCCTAACCTCCACTCCCCGACCATTGTATTACTCTTCTTCACTCTTTCAATTCCTCCTTTAAGATCATTAAGATATGTCATAACCATCTAAGGCCTTGTGTAATTAGACTCTTTCTCTGATGATATTAGGTTTCAGAGGGGATATGTGTAACATCTCCCCATATTTGAACGTAAACAGTTTATCCTTGTTTAGTCCCTATCATTGTTCATTCATGTTTAATTTTTTATGTTTTTATTCACTCCTGTATTTAAACTCCAAAGTTTCTATGCATCTTTGGTCTTTTAATCAGGAATGACTGGAATGATTGGAAATCTTCTATTTTATTAAAGGTCCATTTATCCTCTCTAGTATTATGCTTAGTTTTTCTGGGTAAGTTATTCTTAGATGTAAGCCTATATCCTTTCCCTTCTAGAACAGCACATTCCAAGTTCTCCCATCCTTTAAGGTGTTGGGTGCAAATCATGTGCAATTCTGACTGTGCTTTAATATATCTTGCTGTCTTATAGAGTCATTGCCTTCCCCTCAGTCCATTTCAATTTTCAGGCAGTTAGTTCTTTGGAGAAAGGTTTTGTATCTTTTCTTCCCAGCTATTAATTAATTCCCTTTCAAAATCTGTTCCCCATAGCTCTCATTTCTTCTCCAATTTTTTTCCTCTAGTGTTCTTATTTCATGGACAAAAACATTTTAAAACTCTCGCTTCATCTCTTCCAGGAATTCTAGTTGAATTTGTGTCCAAGCTTAGTTTTCTCTGAGGCTTTGCTTATAGATGTTCTGGACTCATTCTTGTCTTCTGGGTTTGAGTCTTGTCCATCCCTGCCACCATAATAGCTCTTTATGGTGGGTTGGGTTCTTTTCTTCTTATTTTTCCAGTCTATTCCCTGACTTTAAACTTGATGTTAGGGTGGGCTCTGCATGCTCCTGGAGAGAAGGTCTGGGCTGTTTCTGTTCCTGTTTTCCTGGGGGTATTGAATATTGTGTTATTCCAGGATCTTGGGAATAGGCAAAGTAGTCTGATTCAGGGTAAAGTCTGATTGGTGGTTCTCCTGGTCTGAGCTCTGCAAGTTCCTGACCTGGGTTTGGGCTGAGCAAAATTTCCTGAACTCAGGCTCCACCTGCCAACTAGAAAGTTCTGCTGGTTTCCTTTTGGTCTGGGATTCTTCCCCTGGTTACTCTCTGCAAGCTTAAGATTAGGTTAGAAGAAGGAACTGAGATTTTGCTCTGTTCCTGGATTCTGAGTCACACCCTGCTGCTTGCTTCTGAACTTGAACCTTTCTCAGTACAAACCACTTGGCTTTTCCAACCATCAGGAAGCAGGTACCCTTTCCAGACTGCCCTGAATCTGTGACCTAGAACTGAGTACTGGGCTCCAAAGCTGCCAGTTGGCAGCTGTTCCTATACACTACAAGCAATGTGCCAGTATGAGTCTGGTATCTCTTCTTGCCCTTGCGCACAACTTCCGCTTGGGTGCTACCAGACCTCTTCCTAGTGTTTGAAGACCTCTCTATCTCCCTACATCAGCCTGGGCTGGACAAATTACTCACTATGACTTTTTGGATTTCTCTATCAGAATTCAATCTGGTGCATTTTCTTTTCTAGACCTGTTTGGAGGAAGTTTTTTGCAGGGCTCACTGCACTACTCCCTGCTATTCTGCCAACTTGGCTTTGCCTCCTCCTATTTTTTCAATTACGCCATATTTCCACAATACATTGCAATCCACAGAAAGAAGAAACATTGGTTATTTAGTTCATTCCAATTTATGGCCTCGTATGCAACCCTGTGGTATCAAGCCATACAGAATCATGTATAAAACAAGTGGTACATGTGGAATATGATAGCTTCATGAAACTTCTGGTCAGGGTGTCTAAAGGAGAAACCGAAGATACTCATATTAGGGGCCTAATGGCTCCTGGTAACAGCGTGTTGCTCTGTGTTCTCAGTCTCTTATTAGCACTAGAATTTCTCTGTTATACTTCTCTCTAAAGATGGACAAGTTCAATCTAAACATGAATGCTTTATAGCCATGGCCCTGTGACAATGTTCTTCATCCTATTATTCCATGAAGGTTAGTAAAAGTCAGGATGGCACAGGAAGCATTATAGCTGACAGGAGCAAGCCTAACATTCTACATATTCATTGGAAGCCAATGAAGGCAGGTACAATATGAGGTATTTCACAGGTTAACAGGGGTTTGGGAAAATTGAAGAGAATGGAACCCAATGGCACATTGTTAAGCTTCAATGCCATCTGTGGCATCCATCCATTTGTACAGCCTCCAAATACATCAAAATCAACCCATGCTCTTTGTCTAAGTTCAATGCCTTGTTTATATCTTAGCATAAAACTTTTAGCCTAACTGCTGGACCTTAGACTTATTCTCTCGGACCTTGCCGTGAATTTCTGATTTTGATCCTGCTTCCCTCTCCAACCTTTGGCTCTCCTCAGCAAATCAATCTTTCTACCTGATATTTGATATTGGTAAATTGCTCTGCATTTTCAGCTTTTATCTATACTAGAATACCTCTGTTAATCTTCTCTCTGGAGCTGGGGAAAGTTTAATTGACAATAAGGTTGCTACTCAATCAGATCAAAGAGAGATACAGACAACAGAGAGTAGGGGATAAGTGCTAATTATGGTAAGGGGAACACCAAATAACTAGGAAATAGGGGAAGAAGGTGGAGGTTTAGAGAATGATGTATCAATTATAAAGAACAAGCCAAGAATCTATGAATAAATCAAGGGTGTAGCCAAAGCAGAAAAAGCAAACTAAAGGCAACTTAATTTCAGTGGTTAAGGTAGGTAAGAATACAGACTCAAAAATTTCAGATAAAGTAATACAATAACATCAGTATGAGAATACTTGAATGAGTCTAATTTAAAAGGAGAGGTGGTTTTTCCTCTGGATTTATAATACTCCTACTGAAAATCAGAGGCTCTTTAAACCACATTATCCATACCTGAAGAAACAGCTAGGCAGTGTAGTAGATAGAGTACTAGACTTGAAGTTAGAAAGACCTCAGCTCAAATTCTGCCTTGGGTACTTAACTGTGAGACCCTGAACAAATCACTTAGCCTCTTCTCAGTCTCAGTTTCCTAATCTGTAAAATAAGGTTAATAGCACCTATCTCACAAAGCAATTGGGAAGATCCATTGTAATGACATATGTAAAGTACTTTGCAAGTCGTAAGGTACTATACAAATGCTATTATTATTATTATTATTATTATTAATTTCAGCTAGCTAGAGTGCAAGTAATATGATAGTTATGCGAACTGAGTATGGCTATTAGGAGCTTTTATTTTCTTACAAAAATCAACCGCATACAAATAAGTAGAAGATACAGTTCCTGCTTTTGAGGCATTTACAATCTATTTGGAAAGATGAAGTATGTAGTACATTCACTAAGATAATTATTACCATGTAGTAAATGATAAGTGGCAAATGAATAGAGTAGACAATAACTGCCTAAGGAATTCACAGGAAGGAAGAAATCACTTCTAGCTGAGGTTGTCAGGAAATGCTCCAAAAAAGAAGTTGGAATTAAGCCATGCTTGAAAGATGAGTATGACTTAAACAGGCAGGAAAAATGTGGGGACGGCATTCTAAAGAGGGAGATGAGCCTAAGAAGCAGGGAACAATGTGTTAAAAGTACAGAATAGGAAAGTAAAAGATGTAGTATAAAAAGTAGAGAAGTTTGTACAAGATAAGAATGGGAAATGTAACTATAAAAATTGGTTGGAGTCAGACTGTTAAGAATCATGAATGATTAGCCGAGGAATTTGAATTTTATTCCATAGGCATTAAGGAATAAACAAGTAAAGGTTTTTAAATGTGGAAAAAACAAGATAAAGGTAAAATTTTGGGAAGATTAATCTAGCAATAGTACAAAGCATGGATTGGAAAGGGAGCAAAATAAAGGTTAAGGAGTTTGATTATATTGCAATGGTCAAGATATTAAATTCTAAATGTTCAAATGAGTCTGGCGGCAGAATAGAAAGGAAGAGATGTACTAAAGAGGCATTGTAAAGGAAGAAACAATAGAACTTGGTAAAGACTATAAATGACTGTAATGATGATTTTAAGTGATGCTAGTAATCATTTAGCAGCATACACTACCACAAACAAAGGAAAATACTCATCTGCCTTTCTCTTAGTACTCTTTTAGTATTCATAAAGAAATAACCATCAGTAGCCCTCACCTTAGCTGCCTACCTCTTCAGGAAATAGTGGAAATATTTCTTATTAAAGTGATAAATCTATTTAACTGTTAAGAATTTAATTTGACTTTGAAAATCCACTTATTTTAATAACCATTTAAGTTAGTTGCCCATGCTACCTTAGAGAAGTGTTTAGATATTACCAACATAGTTATGATGGCTAAGGGATTTCTGCTAAAGGCTAAAATCGCTAAGTATATCATAAAGCATCTTTTAAATCAAGCAACTTTAATTGAGGAAAATACAACAAAATAGCTATTTCTATATCATACCTTGTATTTGGTCATGGTGCTAAAATGATTGTTCCGAAAGAATACACAAAGTTCTCCTTCCTGAACTGCTGACGTAAGTTCACATAATCCATGATATGTCAGTTGAGTGGCTGTGTTATTTAGAAACTGCTCAGCTACAAAGCCTATGGAACCAATGCATAAGATTAGATAGAAGAATAATCTCAAGATTAATATAATTATTTTTTATTTTATTTACATTGTTCCAGGAATGGATCAAATGAAGTAATGGTTCTTTAGACTGATCTATGGATACAATGTTGGAGGAAACTTTGCCTTCTCCTGCTGTGGGGAATCCCTATCTCTATAGACACATTCCTATTTAAAAGAATATACATATATATGTATATACGCATGTATACATACATACACACATCGGTGTATAAATTACCCAACGGAAATCTAGAAATCAACTGCTATGTAAAACAGGAAGGAATGCTATAGTCAGAAGCTCTTATTACAGATCACTGGTAGGCTTACCATGGATTTGGTACTTAACAAACTTTTGCAGGTTTTTAAATGTTCTATATGTCCCGAGAGACCATCGTTAGCAAAACTGATTAAGCAGAGTAGAAGCATGAAAATTTAAGCAGGAGACTTCAGAATAATTGTACTGAATGCCATTTCTTATTCTGATCTCTCATGGGACATGTTACACATTGTATAGGCTTGTCTTCTTGGGAAATAAGACACATTAAATGGTTTTTGCTTTTGAAACATATAAAAAGGTAGCAAATATATTTATAAGATTTTATTTTAACTAGTAAATAATTTTTCAAAAATCTAATTAAAGGTAGTGATTTTTTTGTTTTAATTTAATAGAGGGGATGCTATAGAAAAGTGCTTCTGGGGCCTTGGAACATATTTTTAAAAAACAGTTTGATTTGTATTTCAATATAATTGTTTTCCTTTGTAATCCTGTGTATTTTATTTTATGTATTGAAAGACATTATTCTGAGAAGGGGTCCATAGGCTTTACTAGGCTACTAAATATTGACACAAAAAAGGCTAAAAACTCCTGATATAGAAGGAAGAGGAGAAAGGAGTTGCCTCCAAAAGTTTATAACATCATAGGAATTGAGGATGTGCTGGGACAGATGTCACATTTGTCACTAGGGATAAGGAGGTAGCATTATAGCAGAAAGAATAGAAAAGGTATGTCCTGAGGATGCCAGATACCTGGGTATCTGAGGGAAGGGAAGAAGGATACAAAAAGAGGAAGTAGGTTAGGAAAAGAAGCTAGGCAGCTTAAGTATTTTTCTCAATCTTTTTTAATTAAAATTTTTTTCCCATACCAAGCATTTTTTTTCTTCATATAACCTTCTCCCCACATTGAAAACAAATAAAAACAAACTCCATGTAACAAATAAACATCGTTTCAATTTCTTTTCCTAAGTGAAAGGGCAGGTTGTTGTCATCTATTCAAGGGCAGATCTGAATATTGATGTACTGATTGTGGGGATGAGTGAGGGTGGAGGGAACAGAGGGAAGTGAGTAGAGAGGGACAAATTTAAGAAGGAAAGAAAGAAAAGGAACTGAGAGTTTACAATCTAGAAATATATATAAATATTCATGTGTACATAAAATGTACATAAAAAGTCCTTTATTCCATTAAAGGTCAATTATTTTCTCTGCAAGGTTAGGGAAAGAAGAAAAGTACTACCTGGCTATATTGAAAGCTCAGTTGAAATTATGTAAATTCAATTTGTAGTGGATGGAATAAGCAGAGTTTTGTGATTTTCTTAGGCTCTGGTCAGTAACATTTGACTAAGAGCAAATAAGGAGGAGGGTGGGAGTGATCCAGGGTTGGGTTTTTCTAACGTATGAATGGCTGGCAACAGGACAACTGGACAAGGGAAAGTAATACACATATGTACATATGCATGTACATATATATATATATATATATATGTATGTATATATATATATATATATGTATGTATATATATATACACACACACACACACACACACATAAAAATTTTGGGTTGCCCCTATGATTCCATGATACAGGGAACTGCCTCTATTTCAATTTATATAGAAACTCATCTCAGACTTACAGTCTTAGCAACTTGCTTATGCCACTGAGAGGTTAAGTACATGCTCAAGGCCACAAAGCTAGTAAATACTAGAAGCATAAAGTGAACTAGGGTTTTCTTGACTCCAAAGCCAGCTCTCTATCTGCTACCTACAATGCCTCTCAAACCTAGGTCTTCTTTCCTCCAAGGCTGCCTCATATTCATTAAACCATGGTCCTTGTTCTTTCCCTCCACCCCTCATTCTTTCCCAGGCCATTACACCTGCACCAGATATATTTTTGTCCCTGCCCTATCTCAATCTTTTGATGGATCATTTCACTTCTATGCTATATACTATACTCTTAAATCTTTTACCTTACCTGTATGCTATTGTGAATTTTACCAAATATCAACTCTGAATTATTAGCATTGTCTGACTTCTTCACTCCCACTCATCTGCTGCTGATGAGTTGGGGGTAAAAAAATCACAAAACTGCTGACTGGGTCCACTAGATAATCTCAATTGGGGTAAGGCAATCTTTTTATATTTCCCTAATCAATCAGCTATCTCACCATAGGGGATAATATAAATCTTTTCGGTCCTTCTCAAATCTTTCATTGTACCCCCTTCCTCTCTCAGAAAAGGACTGTACTTTATACCTCATGAAAAGAAAAATGAGATCACTTATTAAAAGCTCCCTCTTCTCCACTCCTGTTCATCTTACATCAATTAGACATCTTTCCCCATCATCTCTTCTTTCATTCCTGTCTTTAACAAAGATCCTACCTCTTCTCCTGCCTCCTCAACCTCTTTTACTTAAACTCTCCTGGACAAGGCAAATACTGCTATATGTTCTCTGTCTCATTTCCTCCTGTTTTCTCTAGAAGACTGCCTCCATCATCATCCCTACTCTTTCTAATATTCAATCACCCCCTAAGTGATTACACAAATTTAGAGAATTCACCCCCAATGTTCACATGGACTACTTGTGCCCAACCTGTGGTAGAACATTCTGAGCTCGTATTGATCTGATCAGCCACAGTCAGACACAGTGTAACTTGACTCTAGAATAGTGATGTCATTTTGGCCCTCTTTGAGAACAATGGAAAACAACCAATCAACCAATAACCAACCAACCAACCAGTTTCTTTTTTTGCTTTTTATGAACATATCAATGTTTCCACTATCTTTAAAGAATCCTGGCTTTATCTGAGCATCCTTGCTAGCTACTGCCCAATACTTCTCCTCCTTGTCTCTGCTAAACTCCTGTTTAGAGAATGCTGTCTATACTAGATGCTTCAACTTCCTTTCTTCTCACTTGATTCTTAACTCTCTGCAATCTGGCTTTTAATCTCATCATTCAACTGAAATTATCCTTTCCAAAGTTACCAATGATCTCTTAATTGCCTTTTCTCAATCATCATCATTTTTTACCTCACTGTAATGTGTTACTATCAGTCACCCTCTTCTCCTGGATACTCTCCTGTCTAGGTTTTCATGACACTGTTCTCTCTTGGTTTTCCTATCTGTCTGACAGCTCCTTCTTAGTCTCCTTTACTGGATCTTTCTCCAGATCACCCCCAATAACCATAAGAATCTCCAAAGGCTCTGTGCTGGGTCCTTTCCTCTTCTCCCATTATACCAAAGTTCTACAGATCCCCAAGATATAGATTTTAGGGGTCCAAGAGATAGATTGGAGGTGTCATCTTCATTTTCACTAACCTCAAAGTGAAATTTCATATTTCCTTCAACTATGAATTAAAAATGAAAAACAAACAAAATATTGTTCTGAGAAGGGATTAATGAGAGAAAATATTAATAACTCTGATTCTATACTATCTTGCTTGGTGATTTTATCAGCTCCCATGGGTTCATTTATCACTTTTATACAGACGATTTTCAGATCTATATATTCAGTCTCAGCCTGTCTCCTAAACTAGAGTTCTGTATTTTGGACATCTTGAATGGTATGTTCCACAAGCATCTCAAATTCATTACGTCCAAAACAAAAGTCATTATTTTCCCCCTATGCCCTTTACACTCTTCCAAACTTTCCTGATACAAAACCCCATTACTACCACTATGGGTTCTGTTCTTTTTCTCCTTATTCCTGAGCCTATCAATCACTTGTCATTAATATTAAACTATCTCCAGTCTACTCCTCCTATTCTCTCATTCCCATCCCCTTTATTTCTTTTTTTTTTTCTGGCTAGGCAATGGGATTAAGTGACTTGCCTAGGGTCACACAGCTAGTAAGTGTCAAATGTCTGAGGCCAGATTTAAACTCAGGTCCTCCTAACTCCAGGGCGGATGCTCTATCCACTGTGCCACCTAGCTGCCCCCCCATCCCTCTTTCAACTCCTATGCCACCCATGTCCTATGCCAACCTTGCTTACTTTTTCCACTGTGCCTTTGACCTCTTTTGCTCATACATTTTCTGTCTATTATTAGCCCTCACTGAAACCTGGCTCCCCTCTGATGACTTTCTTTTTCAGCACTGGATGTACCTTCTCCCATACCCTGACATACTGGTCCTGGAGGAGAAATCAAAATACTTCTTGCTCCCCACTGCTATTTCCAGACTTTCCCTTTATCTTCTTCACTCAAAAACCTCAATCAAAATTTCCCACCCAATCCAAACTATGGTACCTGTAATATATCAATCAATAGGTCCTTCTCAAGGAATTCAGTTCTTGGCTTACCATTTTCCTCTCCTCCCCAATGCCTGTTGTTATCTTAGGGGATTTGAATATTATAATAATACCAATAACAATAATAATGATAGCTACCATTTATAGAGTGCCTATTATGGGCCAGGCATCATGTTAAACACTTTATACTTTTTAATTACCTCATTTGATCCTCACAATGATTCTGGGAGGTAGATACCATTATTATCCAATTTCCTAGATGAGGATATTGGGGCAGATGAAAGTTAAATTATCTGCCCAGGGTCACATAGCTAGTAAGTGTTTGAGGCCACATTTGAACTCAGGCCTTCCTGACTCCAGGTTCAGTGCTTTACCCACTCGGTTACCAAGCTCCTTCAAAGTCCCTAACCTTCCAATTCCTTAGCCTCCATAAATCCTATGACCTATTATGAACTA